TTTTTTTAACAGTACAGTCTGTAGCCTAATAATATTTGAAAAAAATAACTAACAGGATGATACGGCTCGCAGCGGAAACGCCTTTGCCTACACTTCCCAGCATGCTCGCCGCTGCTGGTGGGGGCCGGAAGTGTCGTCACGCAGATTGTTATAAAGCTGCTTCCCAGGCAGCTCCAATAGACCAATACGTAGCGGGGTGAACCTGCCGCTGCTGCGATGGGACGAGCTCGGAGAAATGACAGCTTGTGCAGGAATTTAGGCTGAACTGCATCCCGCCTCAGACAAGGACCGCAAAACTGTGGGCTCGGTCGAACTATGTGACAGCTGACATTTCTCCCGGCAGCGGCATTCTATGTTTTGTTTTGTTTTTAATTTATGTATTTTTTTTTTTCCTCCTCATTTTTTTTTTTTAAGAATGGATCCGGTGAAATGGGCGCAAAAGTTGACCCGGCGGTGTCCTTTGGATGTGCTCAAACTCGACTAGATCTCATCGCCGGTGGAAATGCTACCTCTGTCATCGGGACGGTGAAGTAATTTGCAGCCACGAGAAGAAGAAGAAGAAGAGGAGGGGGAGAGAGAGAGAAATAACGGGACCGGGTGTGAGGGAGATAACGGAATTACCTCTGTGACCGAAGAACTGTGCGAGCCGCCGATTTACGCTGAATTTCTCCCGGAGACGCTCCCCAGTGAAATTGTTTTATAGGTAGACTTCTTGTTTTTTTTTTTTTGTTGCATGTTGTTTTTATTTTTATTTTGTCGCCTATAAATAGACCACAATCCATGCTGGCTAATTGCTGCACGAACCTTTAATCCGTAAATGCAGGCTGTAAAAGCGTCCAACATGACGCTGTCAAATCGCTGAATTACACTTTTTTTTTTTCTTTCCTGCGGATTAAGTGGACATTTGAGCAGCGCCACAGACTGACAGCGTCACCTCTGCTGCCACTGTCCGCATCCACAACACAGTTTTTTCCCCCCATTATGATCCTTGTCCAGGGATTAGCTTTTGATGACATAAAGAATTACATTTTTTAAAAAATCTGACGCCAAGATGTAACATTAGTAGTTTTTGTGTGTGAATTATTGAGCTCATAATTAACCTGAACCACTCCTCTCGTGGGCACACCTCCACATGGATGCATGGCACACTTTTTTTTTGTGACAGAGCAAATTTGAAAATGTAATTTTGGCAGCATGAAAGCATCAGAGTCAAGTTCGAGCACCTGAGCTGGTTTGGTGAAGTTGCTTTTACGCACCGGAAAGCATGCGTCCTGCACATATGGAGATGTTCTAGGCCCTGTCTTCTTCTTTTTTTTTATTAGTTTTGGAGCAAAGATGCATGGCTTTTTCTTCTTCCTTTTTTTTTTGTAAATGAGACATTCTGCTGTATATAAAAAAAAAACGCTTTTTTTGTGGCTTATTTTTTGTGGGGAGGGAAAACATGATGTGGATCCAACTGTGGTGACATTCTCTTGCTGTTTCCATGCGTCTTTCTTCTCCTCCAGACCTCTGGACGTTGTTGTGGATTGTGTTGCTATTTAATGCGATGGGCTGCATCCAGAGTATCAGGTGTAAGCCCAAGAGTTTCCGAGACAGTATCATCGTCCTGGAGCTGAACACTTCCATCGACTCCAACCCCACCAGCATCGACGAAGCTTCCAGCGTGGTCCTGCGCTACCGGACGCCGCACTTCCGAGCCAATGCCCGCGTCCTGGTGCCGCCAGTAGCCGCTAAAGAGACGTGGACCATCGGGTGGATTCAAGCGTGTAACCACATGGAGTTCTACAATACGTATGGGGACAAAGGGATGTGAGTACTATGAGCATTTTTACTTCTTTTTTTTTCTAACAGCTTGGGTGATGATCATGTGTTGGATGATGCTCATGTAGTTTGAGGATATGTTCAGTGTTTGGAATATTAAACCTCACTGCTGGTGAATGAAGCCCTCTGGACTCTGTTGTTTGCTGCAACTGACACTTGTGCCACAGCTCAGAGCATTTATTATTTAAGTCAAGGTTGGCTAGGTTACTTTCTGTTTAAAATGTATTTTATTACAAACTGTAATCACGTTTTGCAGAGAACTCCATTGTATTCTGCAGTTACTTTGCTATATTTGAGATAATAGTTGACACATAAGACAGACAGTGTTTGTCTCTTCTTACTGGATTGTGCTGGATTATATTTAGGAAACTATATATATTGTTTGATCAATGAAATGTGAGAAAATGTCCCCAAAAAACTCAAGTTCACATCTTTAGCTATCTTGTTTTCTCTGTTCCAAACTTAAAGATTCAGTTTATTGTTATATGACAAAGAGAAACAGCAAATCTTGTCATTTGAGATACTGGAATTTGAGAATATTTTGTATTTTTTCCCCATTTTTCTTCCTGAAAAATGTCATCAGCGGTTAACCGATTACCAAAACAGTCGCTGATTATTTGTCTGTCAACTTTAATCGACAGCTGGTTATGTTTTATTTTGAAATTAGCACCTATTTCCATCGCTTGTTCATTGGTTGATTATATTTATGATTAATCGATTAGTTGTCTGGTCCATAAAATGGTGACAAATGTCAACCAGTGTTCCCCGAAGTTCCAGATAACATCCTGAAATGTCTTATTTTGTCCACAACCCAAATACATCCATTTAATTATCATAGAGGAGGAAAGAAACCAGAAAGTATCATCTTTAAGAAGCTGGACTCAGAGAATTTTGACTTCGTTTATTGTAAAGAAATACTTATTTGGCAATTCATTTAACACTCGACAACTAACTGATCAGTTCCAGCAGCTTTTGTTGAAGCACACTAACACCTTCACCTGTATTTTGTATGTACCATCCAACACCGATTCAACCCTGAGCCCCCCTAAGACACTTTTTGAAGCATCTTTACCCAAGAAAATATGGAGAATCCAAATTAAAAATGTTCAGACCAGTGAATTTTACCACAAATATAACCTGATATTTGGCTTTTTAGGTACAAAGCTGAACCAGCTGCAACATAAGGAAGTGAAACCTAAGTCAAGTAGCACGTAACGGTAAATTCTCAAACCAAACACATGAGTCAGTGCCACTTACCAAAAGACAACCTTTATTTCGGTGTAATTTCTTGCTTTGACTTGCGTGAGTGTCTTAGTTCCTCTTCCTACTGAGGACATAGGTCACACAGTGGTGAAACTCGACTACGGTTGCATCTGGGTTATACCCAGTGGAGCGACCGCATCAGTCTGCGCCATTCAAATCAAAAACGTATTAAGTCGTGTTTTCGAGAAGACAAGTAAAATGCTAAAGTGAATTAAACGGACTTGACTGTTAGTGCACTTTAATATTCAGTCAGCTGTCTACAGTACGTGGGCTCGTGGCTGAATGCCTGCAGGCTACAAAGCCCATCAAAACCTGACAGATATGACAGCAGAACATTGTGAGGGGAAATAATTGCTCTGACCTTTCAGATCCCTCCACTTGTCAATACAGTTATTTTGCACCACTGGTTATTCACAAAACAAACAATCGGCTTTAAAAAAAAAAAAAAAAATGCTGCTCAGGACATTGAGTGACTGGTACCAGGCCTGTCTCTGCTCTTTTCCTTTGTCTCCTCGAGTTCTGCTCATCTTATATCACGTAGCGGGGCAACCACCAAGCTGATCTGAAATATGCTTTTATCTGTGGACGCCGCGACAGAGGATGTCTGGAGTGCTGCACGGCTAAGATTAGAGACTCAGTCCCCTCCCCGACACCCCCCACCCCGCTATGGCCCCGTGTGAAAGACAGAGAATCCCCAATTACTCTCCAAAGCTTATCTTCTATGCAACCACATTTTTTCTTGACTGTACCTGCCTTTTTGCATCAAAGGTACACTCAGGCACTGTGGATACAAACTCTTCTCTAACTCTTTTGCCAAGTTGTTTTCGATTGTTTTATACAGTCCAAATCATCTTCTTTCCAAAAAACAGCCAACATAAGCTTCACTAAAAAGCAACACCGAAGCTAGAAACACTCCTGGAAATAAAACCAACAAAGAAGAAACAAGCCATCACAAGCTGCAACTGACCACAGTGAATGTAACAGATATGGATTATATATATAGCCCTGTACTGTATATAGGGTCACTGGAATGCACCCACCCACCTTTGCAGCACTGTTTACAAATGCAACCCCCCCCCACAGCAGCTCCCACAGTCAATATCTGCTTCATATATTATCATATTCCAATATTAAAGCCATTAAACATTTATTCCCAGCGAGGACGGAATTCGTAGAAAAATATCAAGGCCACCTATTCTTCATGTACATTTTTTGAAGCCACTCTTAGGATGCGAGAGACGAGTCTGCTCTCACGGCCGAGACGCTCATACTAAGTAGTTTTCTTTGATGGTAATGCAGCTTGGGCGTGCTGTAATTGGACAGAACAGCTGAGGATGGTAATGTGGATGATTTCTCTGTTGGCTTTGGATGATGTGCCCGGGATTCTGTACACATTCATCACGTCTCCTTCCATTTGTAGCCTCTGAGCTTCACCGAGGTTTGGACAGTTTGTGTGTGTGTGTGTTTCCAAGCAGGCCTGAATAAATGTGAGCAAAGTGAAGTGAAACTAAAAAAACGGGAAGGACAATATTTAAAACAAGTGTTTTGGATATAGTGTTTCTTAAAGTGCAGTTTAACCCTAGTAGTGGACATTAATGCTGCACAAGGAACCTGTTCAGCACACTGTAAAAAAAAAAAAAAAAAAAAAGTTGTGTAACTTTTGCAGACTTCTTCCTTTTTATTATCCTCCAAAATATCAGTAAAATTACAAAAAATAGGCAAATTTTTTAAGTTGAATTATGTTTAACAAGCTGTAACTGTAAACAAATTAAAATAAAAACAAATAAAATTAATAATTTTTGACATAAAAATACTGGTAAAATACATTTGATATTTTAATGCAATTTCACAAATATATACTTTTTATATATTGGTTAAATAAATAAATAAAAACAGTAATATAATGCAGTTTATAACTGAAAATATACTTCTAAAATGAGCTACAGTTTGGGATAATTAACAAAAAATATGTCTTTAAAGACGTTTTTGCAACTAAATGTCAATTTATAATATCTGTTAGCAACGTTAGTGCCTCTTTTTTCATTATATTTATTTATATAACCTATATAATGTGATAGAGATTATTACAGGTAACTTAAGTGTTTCTATACATGTAAATATCCTTCACTAAACAGTAAATATCCCCAAAAAATCACCTGATCTCATGTAAAGTAAGGCTAGAAAATGTATTTTAATCAGAGAAAATTACTGCACTTTTAGGAGATGGCTATTTCTTGCTAATGCACTATATTTTTTGGTGCCCTAGCTCTGGGAACTTCACGTTTTTTTGTTTTTCTTTTGACAGTGTAGTCTTGTTAGGGCAGCGTGTTCATCTGCACACACACACACAGCATCACACACTCACAGGTGGTGAGGCCTAACCAGGCTGTAATTGATTAATTGATTGCATTGGCACCGTGTTTCTTTACTTCTGCTCCTAAAACAAGTCGATCCAATCTCCACCATCTGTCTAAGAAAGCATCTCACACGTCTCACCAACTGATTTGGCCTCAACATGCAAAGGAACACGGCAGCAAAGTTGCAGAAACAGGAAGAAAAAAAATAAGCCATTTCTATGTTGCTTTTGTTGGATTAAGACTTTTTGCTTTACATATAAAGAGTTTCTTATTTAGGCTCAAGTTGACGTTGGCTCAGACAAACCTTTGCTGGAGAGCTTTCAGTTTTGACGTGTAGCGCACAGGGCTTATGATCAGCAAAGGTTTAAAGTAATAGGTAACAGGAAATTGCAGCCATGCACTACAGCCGCAGTTGCCAGCTTTTTTTTAGCGCACGGTGAGATGAACTGAAGTGCCCTTTCTTCAACACCTCACATCATGGGTGTTACTGGGCTATTTCATCATTCTCCAATGAACTATTTACTGTTTGTGTCATTTCCGATAACTTTTAAGCCAACTGTTTAGACTTTTTGACTCACTTGTCAGCTAGTTTCATGCACCTGCAAACTGTGGTGAGCCTGTATCACAGCTGACTCACTATAAAGATGTATGTTTTTATCAAGCGTCACTTCATCAAAATCTATTTTCCTTCTCAAATCAATTCAGAATCTTGCACATAAACGCACGAGACATTTATCAAAACCGACATGCTCAGGAGTCAAGACAGATGGGTTGTTTTTTTTTTAAAGAGAAGCGAGGGAATCGTTTTTAGCAGGCCTGCGGTTCTGTCAGAAACACTCACACCACCTCTTTCGGACCGTTTGACTGTGACGAAGCAGGCAACGGAGACACAAACAGGAAGTGAGCCTTGTTGCTGCAGTGCTTTCCCCAGTCATCATCAAAGTTCCTCGGCGGGTAGACGAGTCCTCGCTTCACCTGTCTGTGCAGTCTGCTCTTACCGACACGACTAACCGCAACCCCGATCTGACGAAGGGCAAGCTGCAGATTTACGTCAAGCTATGTAATCATAAATAATTCATCGCTCAAATATCCTTCGTACTGGAGCAAAAAAAATGGGAGAATTACTACGAATTGTTTTTGGAGTTGAGAAGATTAAGTGATCTTTCAGAATAGAAAAGTGCATGTACACACAAATGTCTGCACGCACAATCACACACACATATATACACAGACAAGGGCTCGCTATTATCATGCCTGACATGCTAATCTCACCCCCCGGGTAAATTCATAAATCACAATGTGAGGCCAGGCCAAGAAGGCAGTAAAGTCATGTGGCTGGTGATCACACTGTTATCTCCTCTGTTCTGCTGATGCACGGTTTCACCGAATGAAAGGTAATCTTTTTCCTGCTGCGGCCAAAAAATCGATAGGTGGACGGAGCAGAGGCACCGGGTCACTTAAGTCGCTCGGTGTCGCCTGCGGTGTCTGTCGAAATATTTTATCTTCGTATTGTATTTTATCTCAGTGGGACGAAAATTGCTGGAAACTTCCAACTGTGAGGGTTTGAGTTGTGCTTGTTCCCGCTGTCCTGTGCTGTTAGACGCACGGTGACATCAAGGTGGAGACTTGTCACACTGTCGAGAGGCAAATTGTTTTACACATAAAGCACTGAACAGGAGAAACTTTGGTTTATTGTGCTTGAGCTAAACCTCCAAGGCAGCTACTCGTTTAAAGCGTTTATCACAATTAACAACTTCCTGGTTCACCTTTGGCTTACTGTGGCATCATTACGTAACATTTCACATCTACTCACATCCAGAACGAGGTGGTTTAGATAAAAGTTCCTGTTTAAATCCTCATCTCTGACTCCTCCTCCACTTCCAGGTCAAGCTGGGAGCTCCCCGACCTGCGCGACGGCAAGATCCAAGCCATCAGCGACTCAGACGGTGTCAACTACCCCTGGTACGGCAACACCACAGAGACCTGCACCGTCGTGGGCCCCACCAAGAAGGACAGCAAATTCACTGTTAGCATGAATGACAATTTCTACCCCAGCGTGACATGGGGAGTGCCGGTCAGCGACAGCAACGTGCCTCAGCTTAGCAGCATCCACCGCGACCAGAGCTTTACCACCTGGCTGGTGGCCATCAATCAGGCCACCTCAGAGACACTCGTCCTGCAGACAATCCGCTGGAGGATGCGGCTTCGCATCCAAGTGGACCCGGAGAAGCCGCTGGGTCACAGGGCCGTTCTGAACGAGCCCGTGGCCCAGGAGCAGCCCCAGATCCTGGGCAAGAACGAGCCCATCCCCACTAACGCCATGGTCAAGCCCAACGCCAACGACGCCCAGGTGCTGATGTGGCGGCCAAAGAGCGGTGACCCCGTGGTGGTCATCCCACCCAAATACTGACCTGTTTCACTGACCAGACTGGCCTTGGATACCTTAACAGTATCATCCCTTATTTGTTTCTCTCTCTTTTACTCCTGCTCTTCACCAGCCGTCACTGCTTTAACCCTTCTTTGATATTTATTTACAACCTTTTTTTTTTTTTTTTTGCCTCTATATTCTTCTCTCACGCTTTAAAAAGACTGATAGAAGAAAACAGAAACCAGCGCTGAGGAAAAAGACCAGCTGTTGCTTCGAGGCGGGGGCTTGAACATACTTTTCAAACTGGAGCGAACAAACTGCAACCATTCTACCTTCAGACTGGGTCGGGTCTCACTGTGCTAAATTGCAAAAATGAAAAAGAGTGTTTTTGGATTTTTATTTTTTACATTTTTGCCGTTTGAGCCACACGCGGGTGGATTTAAGTATTTACATGACCATGTCTGCTACATACATGGATATGCACAAACTTTGCGTACGAATACCAGTTGTGTTTTTAATTTATGGGCTGGAAGAGAGTGCATTTAACTGTGTTTTGATGTTTTTGTTGTGTCATTTACATGGCAAATTGCATTGGGTGACATAGTAGGTTTTAGTACTTTTTTTAAAAAACAAACAAACATGCAAGACATTCAATCCATGCTGCCTTAAGTTTACATTGCTTTCCACTGCAAACTTTTTAGCCTTAAACAAAGTGCAATGCAGTATTTGATCATTTTGTCCCGTTTCTTCCAGACTGTTGGTGCTGGCAAGTGTGGGTTTAGGACAGGAACGCAAAAGAGGAAGACCCCGGGTCTCAGATCTAGACTCAAATGTGTGCAACCGGCGGTGTGTTATACAACCGAGCTAACCGGTTCCAAGTGCATTATGGGACACACAGAGAAGCCAACACTCGTCAGTAGCACTCAAGTTAACAAGCAATAACGACTTCTAACAAAAACCTACTTAAAAGCACTCCGCAGAGTTGACCTCATGTCTGTCACTTTATTTCGTAGGATCCAGCAGCAGAAAACTAGCTTTCCTTTCTCGGTGTCACTCCATCTCAGGGGCCCTTCTCACTTCCTTCCCTTCTCTGTTCTTTTTCAACCATCCTGTCTTGCCACAGCGAGTGACGAAGCGTTGCTCAACAATCAATACTCGTATTAACAAGTGGACAGAGGAAATAACTTTTAATAACCATCATTGTGCAACCCTCGTCTTCTAAGACAATCTCATGCATATTGTACTTTTTTATCGCCGCCTTCTTCTAAAACTATTCTAATTAAATCCTAACATCTGTCTCTCACGTTAACAGATTTTTCTATTTTCTGTCCCTCCTCCTCAATCACCTCTAATCTTCATCTACACCAGTATTTCTCCTCCCACTCCTCACTTCCTCTCCCCACTCCACCCTCCCTCCTCTTCTTCTTTCGCTCACTTTTTATCTGCTGTCGGGGCTGAAAGGCAAAGCAGGAGGCATGCGAGTTTGATGCCGACTGCTCGGTTGGCATATAGATGACCCACTTCTCTGCCTTGCCAGTTGTAGCTCTCGCTGCAGAAATGTGGGGCTCGTCTCCCTTTATTTCACCGCCAGCCACTGTAACACACATAAACAAACAGCGACTGATATCGACATTCAACGAAGCGAGGCCCGTTTAACTGTAAATCTTGGGCTTCGGCAGCAAACCGCTTTTGAAAAGTAGAAGGAGGGAGGCTGAATTTGGCATCAGGGCCTTTCACTTCCTTATTGAAAATAAGGGTTCTGTACAGAGGCTTTCACTTTCGGATGTTTGAAACATCTTGCGAGTTCATCGTGCCCGGTCTTTGTGTCGCTACGTGTTTGGCTCCGACCGATAATTTGCATGCAAGTCTGATCTGCTCATGTATTTCACAAAGATCAGTAGTCCTCTGCTGTGTCAGTGTATACACGTCTGATTATTACTGGCTGTGTACAGCGTTCATCCATTCGGACCGGCTTTTTAAAGGAAAGTCCAAAAATAAATTCAAAATGAGTTCAACATTTTAAGAAGTGCGCTCATTTGCTCTCATATCTGTTTGCTAAATCTAAAGCAGCATCAGTTGAGCTTACAAAAAAAGTGAGTCCACCTACCAGCACTTCTGAACCTCACTAACTAACGCGTTTCTACCCTCAAAAACAGAAGTATGATCATGACTGTCGCTTTATATTTAGCATACAGAAGTGAGAGCGATGACAATCTTCTCATTTAGCTCAAATGTGAACAAGACTGTTTTCTAAACTGGTGAAGCATTTCTTCGGGCGTTACAGATATCCTGTATAAATCCCCATGTATGCAGTAGAATTGCAACCTTATGCTCCCTGTCTGTGGAGAATCTGATAGCTGAAGGCTCTGCAATTAAAAGTCAAATAATACCCAGCTCAAAGATCAAATCCATTCACGCCACGAGGTGAAATACTATTGCATTGGAAGCTCATGCGACTCCCGACGCCCCCGCTTGGCTCGGGGTCGGGTTTTTAACCGAGATAGCCTCTGCTCCGGGCTGAGTCACAGGGCAGCGTGGTGAAGGGTGAAGGAGGAGTAAGAGGCTATTGGGGGTACTGCTGTCATAATTAGATCTGCGGTGACACACTTCGATGCCCTAGATGGGCTGAGCTGTGCCTGAGTCGCGCTGTGCGACGCGAGGGCCGAGCCAGAGTCGCGGGTTGAGGTCAAAATAGCAAAGGTGAGGGGCAAAAGTGTCCGTCTGCAGTCCGAAAATACCCAGCAATATGAGGGTGACAACAAATTGAATCCATTCAGACATTAATGCCGGCTTAAAATAACCCTGACATTTTCCAAGAACAACTTGGACGTCAGCCACGAGTTATTTTCAATTTGTGGTTTGTATTAAAGGCCTCGGAGAAAGCTGGCGTTATGAACTGAGCGACCTTTAACCTCACGTAGCGCGGCGCCACGTTGGGCCCGTTGTAATGTCTTGGACACTGTGGAAAGTCGCTCAAGCCGGACTACCTGTAATGTAATTAAAGCTTGACACGCCGAGTGGCCAACAATGTGTGTTTTAAATCCCGCTGAGGAGATTTAGACGGGATGAGGAGTTTCACTGCTGCTGTCGAGTCATGACTCTTCCTCTCGCTCGCACAAAACACACATTCAGCGCAGGGGGGAGGTTGTGTCCTTGTCGTGAAACAGGAGGGGGGCCGAGCTCGCCCTCCACAAACACACAGAGACGCCCTGAGGGGAAAGGAGCAGGCCTGGCGTGGTATCTGATTGTCACAGCGGTGTCACATTGGCAGCGTGAACTCATTTATCAGCGCCGCACGTGGACCGTCTGAACACACGCGCATGCTGCAAAAGCCATATGCACAAACACACCTGTTTGCTCGTAAACACAAAGTCGTCGACGGCGTGTGGAATATTTCAATGAGATATTCACACATCTGGTTGTGTCGGAAGGCGGTCTCGAAAAACAAGGATCACAATTTGTTCAATGCTTTTGGTGCATCCGGGCCTTTGTTAAGAGGGTTAAACTTTGAATATTTAAAAAGCGAACATGAGAGAAGGAAGTATTGAGGTCACTGAGTGGGTGCCTGTCAACTACCAGCAGCATTTCGTGTTACTTTGAAGGGTTCTAATTCTTCTCTCTGTGTGTATTTCATTCAGTGTGTATGATCACGGCGTATAGTGTATGTTCCCAGAAAGACTTCACGTGCTTCCTTAACAGAGCCACAGAAAAACAATATTTTTTATTTGTTTTTTGCTGTAGATGGCAAAAAAAGTGCCAAAATTGGACAAAGCCAAAACTATGCACTGAGACTTGTGAACTCAAAAAAAACCTCCTGGCACTTAATAACAGGCCTGTTTTCACTTTTTTTTTGCTCAAAAAGCAGATTTGCATTGTCAGATAAACATTACAAATGCAAAAAAATTAAATATCGCCATGCTTGCAGGGCTGTGCCAAGGGAGTCTCCTCTCCTAAACCCACACCTTCTACAGTTCTTCTGAGGGCTGCTACTTTTGCTTCACATCTTTATATGTAGTTGTTTATCCGTCCATGACACATCCGTGAATCTTCACCCCCTCCCCTTATTTTATTATTTGTTTCAAACCAAGTTCACGCTCAGGAGCACCTGCCTTCATTTCCTGGCTTTTACTTCTGGTTGTATCTCATGAAAAAAAAAAAAAATAGTGAAGTGTTTCCACGAGTCAGTTTTGTCGTCTTCTCGATTCATCGTTTTAACAATAAACCCCCCAAAATGTAGCACATAAGATAACGAGCGACTACGTGTGTTCCTCTTTTTCTTTTTCTTTTTTGTTTGGTTTGTTTTTCTGGAAATACAGCACTGAAATAGTTCAAGCCGAATGTGTTCTTTTGTTCAGCTTTGACTTTTACACCAATACTTGAAAATGGGTCAGTTCTGGCAAATATGTAAAACTGTGAAAATGCACAAAACTGATGGGGGAAAGAAACAACCCCTGAAAAATATATATATTAAAGGTCTTTTTCATGAATAAATAAAATGTACAAATATTAAAAGTTGTCTTTTCTTTTTTAACTTCTGGGCTGCTTTTCTCACAGTGATAATAAAAAAAAAAATGCTAATATTTAACTATACATTCAATTTCAAGGGCTGCAAGGTGGAGCGGTGGTTAGCACCGTTGCCTCGCAGCAAGAAGGTTGCTGGTTCGCGTGAGGACACCCGGGATCTTTCTGCGTGGAGTTGTTCTCCCCGTGCAGCGTGGGTTCTCTCCAGGTTCTCCAGCTTCCTCCCACAGTCCAAAAACATGTTGAGGTTAATTGGTGATTCTAAATTGTCCGTAGGTGTGAATGTGAGTGTGCTTGGTTGTCTGTCTCTAAGTGTAGCCCTGTGATAGACTGGTGATCTGTCCAGGGTGTCCCCTGCCTTCACCCTGAGTCAGCTGTGATAGACTTCAGCCCCCCACGACCCTAGTGAGGATTAAGCGGAGTATAGATAATAAAATAAATTTACAAAATAAATAATTCCATATCTAAATGTATAGTCTACATAAATATCTGACATTTATGGTATTAGATACACATTGCACTTCCTCCTCTCATATCTAAACATGCATGTAGTTACTACTTTTTTTTTTTCTCTCCAAACACGCTGGGCTCTGTGCTCTTTCAATCTGCACAAATCAAAAGGACCGAATAACCCCTCAGCCAGGACAAAGACATGCAGTCTTAAGTGCTGAATTGAAAAATCTTGAAAGCCGGCATGCACACGAACGAATCCCCGAGGTTACCCGCACACAGCCGAGCCCGTGATGCACCGCATGCCTCGGCCAGTAAAAAGACTTCTATTGCACCGTTAGGGATGTTGCTGCTTTATGTATGTCGCCTTTTGTTGATGGCACACAGTAAAGAGTCCACAGACAAAATCAAGAGGGAGGATGCAGAAAGGAAAAAAAGAGCATACAGTAGACACCGATGCTGCAGACTCCCCCCACCCTGTTCAGGCAGAATGTTGAATAAATGGTTGAAGAATTTTAACGAATGCAGATGTTGCCGGTGGCGGTCGGCGGATCTTTCATTACTGGCTGGGTTGTGGACCAACTGGACAGCCCCCTCTAGCACCGTGATCAAAAGAGCAAACAAGGGAATATCTTTTGGTAGAATGGTCTTGCAGGGAAGCTGTTCTTGGAGCCAAATCCTCACCGTGACGTGCCTTCCTGATTGAAGCAAATATGGAAGAGCTGCTGTTCTGAGGCTCCAGCTGTTGCCAGACGTGTA